ATTTTTAAAAAATAAGTTTATCGTTTGCTATGTTTTATATCTTTAATAGTTCTTACGTTTTATTATTAAATTCATAAATAGGTCACCATAAATGATAATTTTGCAAAATTATCTGAAGCTCTTTTCACCGCAGACAGGCATGCTCGTGAAGAAGTACGACAGCGTGCTTTGATGCGAGAGAAACTTGCTCAGAAAGAAAAAGAAGAGAAAGAAAGGCGCTTGCGTATGCTAGCACAAAAAGCCAGAGAAGAAAGGTGACTATGTTGTTCACCTAATAGATAAAGTTTATAAATATCGTATTAATTATAATAATATTGTTACAACTGTCAGAGCTGGTATTTCTTCGACGACTTTGAACGCATCAGAATCCGATTCTGAGTCTGAGACAGACGAGAAAAAGATTCGTGAGAGAGAAGATATAAGACAAGAAAGGCGGAAAGAACGAGAGAGAGAATATAGATTATCTCGAATGGGTGCAGAACAAAGAGCAAAATATCTCGCACGGTTGGTATATTATTTAGTAATACTAATAATCAATAATATATGCTACTTAGAACTCTAACGTTTATTTCAATTTTTTTAGTGAGCAAAACAGAGATATTTCTGAAAAGATTGCATTGGGTCTTGCAAAACCCACACTTAGTAAAGATAGTCTTTATGACTCTCGATTATTCAATCAGTCAGAAGGTCTATCATCAGGATTTAAAGATGATGAAGGTAGGTGTAATTTATCTTAAGACATTGCTTAATATCAATCGGATAATTGTAATTGAATTTTCACATTTCTTCATTAGTTTATGATCTGTATGATAAACCACTTTTTGCTAGCTCAAGTTCCACAAGTATATATAATCCTAAAAAGAATTATGATACTGATCAATATGGTGGTGGAGATGAAGAAAGCATTAACAGAATACTAAGTGTTGATAGATTTGGGATTGCTTCAAAAGGTTTTCAAGGAGCTGATAAAAGCCGGGTTCGTAATATCAGGATTTTCATTTTTATGTGTTATTATGATACAAAGTTTAATAGTTTTTTTTTTTTTTTATACAATAATTAGCCAAGAGATGGACCTGTGGAATTTGAAAAAGAAGAAGCCGATCCATTTGGGTTTAATCAGTTCTTGGATGATGCTAAAAAAGGAAGTAAACGTGGACTGGAGACGATGTAAGTTTTTGTTATCAAACATTTATTGATTTATTTAAATATTTATGTTAAACTAATTTCTTTTTGATAATAGATCTGAAAGCAGCAAAAGAAAGAAAGTTGCATGATCCGTACCTAGGGAAAGCCATTTTAGGATTGGTTTAGGTTATAAAACCTTTAGGTTCCAATTAAAAACCTAAGAAACAGATTTTTATATAATAAAATCCAAACCTAAGTTAAACTTGGTTTGGTTCAGAACGACCGGTTCTCAATATTTTGTAAGACAAAAAATAAAAATATATTAATAAAATGTTACTTAATTCACGTCAAACTTTTAGAATTTTTTATTTTAATCTTTGAATAACTTTACTTAATCTATTTAATATCGATTTATTTAATAAAAGGAGGTAATATGTCGAGTAAGTAAAGTGGAAAATCGTATTTTTATTCATATAGAGCGAGTAGATATTTTGATCATCTTCTTTATATGTTTGTTTTTTTTACTTACTTCTTTTTCACTCTACACTTACTCTTTTTTTTTT